ACCTTCTTTTTTAATGGCCTTATCTGAATGAATATGCCCACCACTAGAGGTGACCTAAGACTTCTTGTCCCCCCCTCCTTTGAGACAAGAGTTTTGCCCTTGTCGCCCAGGCGGGAGTGCAATGATGTGATCTCAGTTCACTGTAAGCTCCACCTCCTGGGTTCAAGCGATTTTCCTGCCTCAGCCTCTCCAGTAGCTGAAATTACGGGCATGGGCCAACACGTCCGGCTGATTTTTTTGTATCTTTAGTAAAAACAGGGTTTCACCATGTTGGGGGCTATGGTTGGTCGTGAACTCCTGATGTCGTGATCTGCCCACCTCGGTCCCCCAAAGTGCTGTGATTACAGGCATGAGCCACCACTCCCGGCCTTCAATATTTTTAAATTTAAAAAAATATATAGTATTTACTTAGAAGCATTCAGAATGTCAACAAAACAGCTGCAACTTTTTTTTTTTTTGCAATTAAAGTGGTATTCAGTTAATGGAACAACAATTATTTTGTATAAGCTGCATCAAAGACAAGATGAAAAAACTACCATCCTCATATGTAACTAATTTGTGCTGTGCACCAAGATGAACCTGCTTTAAATTTCCATGGCAATTTACAACCCCCATATTGTACCAGGCAAGGTTAGTGGTTATTGAATATACCATCAGCGCGTGCTGGCTCAGGCCTGTGATTCCAGCTACTCAGGAGATGAGGCAGTAGAATCTCTTGAACCCAGAAAGCAGAGGGTTGCAGTGAGTCAAGATTTCGCCACTGCACTCCAACCTGGGTGACAGAGTGAGACTCTGTCTCAAAAAAAAAAAAGAGAATACCACTAGGACGAGGCTATCTAAAGACACATTTTGGTAGTATGTTAATTACATAAAAAAAGACACTGTACAGTTTAAAAACAAATTTTACACAGCCTTACATTTTAATTTTTTTCTTTAAAAGGAGTGAGTTGTATATGGGGGGTTAAATGCTTTATAGACAAGAAAAAAAACTTCAAGAACCAGCTTATTCATTATCACCATCTTCTTCATCTTCCTTCTCCTCATCCTCTTCATTTTCCTCAGCTTCCTCCTCTTTTTCTTTTCTTCAGCCTTGACCACTCCCTTTTTTGCTGCATCAGCCTTGCCTTTAGCTCTATATGCAGCAAGATCCTCTGTATTTATCCTTCAGTTTCGCAGCTGCTTTTTCTTTTTCTTTCTTTCTTTTTTTTTTGAGACGGAGTTTCGCTCTTGTTACCCAGGCTGGAGTGCAATGGCGTGATCTCGGCTCACCGTAACCTCTGTCTCCTGGGTTCAGGCAATTCTCCTGCCTCAGCCTCCTGAGTAGCTGGGATTACAAGCACGGGCCACCATGCCCAGCTAATTTTTTGTATTTTTAGTAGAGATGGCGTTTCACCATGTTGACCAGGATGGTCTCGATCTCTTGACCTTATGATCCACCTGCCTCGGCCTCCCAAAGTGCTGGGATTACAGGGTTGAGCCACTGCGCCCGGCCCGCAGCTGCTTTTTCTAAGGCTGCTTGTCATCTGCAGCAGTGTCATTCCACGTCTCTCTCAGCTTCTTCCAAGCATCACCAATGGACAGGTCAGGATGTTCTCCTGTAACTTTTGGGCAATACTCAGAACAGGACAGAAAAAAGGCTAAAGGAGGCCTCTTGGGTGCCTCGGGATCCTTGAACCTCTTTTTTGTCTCCCCTGTAGGAGATAACGGTTTTCATTTCTCTTTCATCATGGGCCTTGTCTGCCTTTGCCGTATCTTCAAATTTTTCTTTCTCTTTAGCAGATGGTATTCCACCTCTCTGAGGACTTCTTAGAAAACTCTGAGAAATTGACTGAAGCATCTGGGTGCTTCTTCTTATGCCCCTCTAGACAAGTTTGCACAAAAAATGCATATGATGACATTTTGCCTCTTGGCTTCTTAGGATCTCCTTTGCCCATGTTGAGTTTTTTTCCCTCAGTAAGGCAGAGTTGCCCAGTGCCCGACCAGCTCTCACTTGCCCTTGTGCTATCTCTATGGAAAGGATAATAATTTAAAAGTTTTAAATAAGCATGTCCTATCCTTCAGTTATCTAAAGCAGGTTTTTGTTTGTTTTTTTCTTTTTTAAATCACTGCTTTGTCTTTATTAAAGAAACTTAGAAAGAAACCAGACCTGGCAACCAAGGGGTGAGGTACTGCCCAGGAAGGTGAAGTGGGTGCAGGCTCTGGGGATTTCAAGTGCAGCCTGATGGCCTGGGAGGGGCCAAGGAGACCAGATCCTGGCAGCAGCTGATGAGGTACCCAAGGGCACTTTCAGGCATTGGGGACATCAGCTGGTTCTGTGGGCAGGGGTTGGGGGTTGGGATGCAGGGTAGGTTGGGCTGGCCTGGAATCTCCCTGAGGCCACCCTGCCTTGTCTACCCAGATCATCCACTGGTCCTGATTCTGTTCATTGCCTTCCATGTCCATCTCATTGACCTCTCTGTCATCAGGTGACTCACTGTAGTCATTCATCTCATCCATGTCCTGCATGTCCTCATCGTCCTCTGAGTCCTCTTCACTATCCTCATCATCTTCATCATCCTCTTCTTCCTCATCATAGTGCTCTGATGCTGACTTGCCAATAGGAACCAGGTTGTTTGTTGTCTTTCTCTGCGATGCTTTGGAGCAAGGCCTGATGCTGCTGTTCCTGATGCTGCAGCTCTGTCCCTTCCACACAGGGTCAATCCAGATTAAACAAGTGTTTCAGTCACACGAGGGAAGAGTGGGGGGAACAAAGTGGACATGGCTCCTAAATAGCTGTTTGACCTTGGCTGAGTCACTTAACCTCTCTGGGCCTCAGTGTCTTCATCGCGTGGGGAGGCGACCTAAAGCAGGTTTTGCAGGAAATCTGAATCTGACTGAGAATCTGACTGTTGATTGTTTTCAAAGTTCCAAGTAGTCAAGCCACAAAAGGAATTTCTCAGTTTCTTCGGTATGGCTCAGGCAAATAAAAACTGGTGGCTAAGACCTAAAGAACACAGTTTTAATCTCTGAAACACAGATGACTTCAGGCAGAAGCCCAACTGGGGAGGGAGAGGGAGGCAAGGGGAAAGATTTCTCTCCCATGATCACATTGTCCCAAAAAGGCTCCTTGTGTACAGTTTATAAGGTCACATGTTGACACAATGGTTGTTAAGACCTTGATGAAAAGAGTTGGAGGAAGCCAGTGTAAAATACCCAAAGACATATCAGTGGTCAGGCCTTGAGGCATATAAAGAAACCCGGCAAAGTTTGCCATCTCTTTTATCTGCTCTTGCCCACCTCTGCCTAGATGTTACAAAGGAAGGAAATATTTGTTGAGAATATATTGCACTCCACAAATGAGAATGTTGCATTAATGAATAACATATATATTGGCTCTTTCAACACGAAGGACCTTGTATAGTCCTTTACTAAGCTTAAGGCTTGTCCAGACAAGATTAAACACACACAAGTAGCCTCCTCCCTCCTCTAGTAAACCCAAATAAATCTAATTAGCTTGGAATGATTCCTACAGTTGCTCTCACGGCTATTAGGATTTAGTTTGATCTCCTGGCAAAGCCAACCCAGTCCCGCATGAGCCCCCCACACTCTGCCTCCATCCTTCTCAATCCCTTACTCCCTGCTGATGTCCCCGCCCCCTGCCACCATGTTAACTGTGAGGTCCTTGATGTGCACACTCCCTCCTCATACTTTCAAGCCTTTCTTTCTCCTATTCCTTTTACCTCCATGTCTGTTTACCCTCACCTGTCCTTCCACATTTAATTCCAACATCACCTCCTCCTGAAGGCCCTCCTGGATTGTCTCCTTGTTCATATCAGGACTAGTGCCTCACCAGTCTGTGCCCATGCATGCTGTCCAGGCCTCCACCACAGGGTTCAACTGAATGGAAACCCTTTGTCTTTTCCTGTTTACTGTTTCTTTTTCTTGTTGTTGTCGAGAGGCAGTCTTGAGCTATTGCCCACGCTGGAGTGCAGTGGTGTGATCTTGGCTCACTGCAACCTCCACCTCCCGGGTTCAAGCAATTATCCTGCCTCAGCCTTCCAAGTAGCTGAGATTACAGACATGTGCCACCACACCTGGCTATTTTTTGTATTTTTAGTAGCGACAGGGTTTCACCATGTTAGTCAGGCTGGTCTTGAACTCCTGACCTCAGGTAATCTGCCCACCTCAGCCTCCCAAAGTGCTGGGATTATAGGCATGAGCAACTGCACCCAGGCTCCTGTTTACTGTTTCTTTTCTCATAATACAAAACCTGTCACATAGCAAGTGTTTAATGTACATTTGGTGAATGAATGGTTTAATCAGAGTTTGTTTCTAATCTTGTTTCCAGCCCACATTAGCTTATTCACTTGTGTGCAAAAGTGGGTGAGGACAAATAAATCTTAAATCATTTGCTTGACTAAGAATGTTTTCCTGATAGCAAGTTGGCAACCTGAAAATTAGTGGGAAAAGTAACGATGGTTACTGAACAGACTGCCAATTGGATGCTGATTATCTGCTGTGAATCATTTCTTTAACCTTCGAAAGCTTTTGAAATGATTTTTCTGGGTATAACAATAATGTGACTAACTAAAAATGATGAAGATCATGTTTACTGTAGATGTGTGTGAAACATCCTTGTTTTGTCCCAAGTGCTACAATTGCAACCCCTAAATTTATCTCCTTTCTCCACTCTACCCACTCCTAGTATACATGCAGGCACTCACACTCGTGTGTGCACACACACAACCCCCTAGACTAACCCTTACCAGATTTAGTCTTTTTTTTTTTTTGAGACGGAGTTTCGCTCTTGTTACCCAGGCTGGAGTGCAATGGCGCGATCTCGGCTCACCGCAACCTCCACCTCCTGGGTTCAGGCAATTCTCCTGCCTCAGCCTCCTGAGTAGCTGGGATTACAGGCATACGCCACATTGCCCAGCTAATTTTTTGTATTTTTAGTAGAGATGGCATTTCACCATGTTGACCAGGATGGTCTCGATCTGTTGACCTTGTGATCCACTCACCTCGGCCTCCCAAAGTGCTGGGATTACAGGTTTGAGCCACCGCATTCGGCCCCAGATTTAGTCTTTAATGGAGTTCAATAAGACACATTTCACCACATTTCCAAAGTTATAATGGATCTTGGAGGGGAAAGCTATGGAAAACAGTGACAGAGACACACTTATCACACAGCGATAGAGCTTCCTTTTTGTCTCTTCAAACAAATCAAGAAAAAAAAAAACGAAAATTATCTAAGAATTCCAAACTGCTGGACTATTCCCATTGCACCGAGTCATGTGGATCTGGGTCAATTACACAATCAGTTGTGCAAGTCAGCTGGCAGACAGAAACGAGTTACTTCAGAAAGATCATCTCAGGGAGCTTATTCTATTCCCTTTTAAGTAATGAGTCTAATGAACTCAAACAGGAGACTTGAAGTCCCTGATTTCTGCTGTCACTGGAAAGGAATTACTTTTGACAATTTTCTATGTAATTTATTGGAGAATGACAAAAGCAGTTGAAAACATTATTAGCTGGAATCTTGGCCTGTTTTGATAAACAACAGATAAAAAGTTTTAAGGGTGGAACTTGCAAGTCTAATTATACAACATTAAAAACAAAAGTCTCCATATCAAACATAATGTGTACATGTAAAATGAACACGAGGAACTGTTAGAACACTTACCTAAAGCAGTTTCATGTTGCAGAAAAATGATGTTATAGATCTGGCATACATTTAGCATAGAAACTCTTCCTACAAGTATAAGGAGAAAGAGAATCAAAACAAGGAGACTTAAGACTCAGTCTTAGCTCCAGTTTGGCCTTTGTGACCCTGGCCGAGTCACTTCAACATGAACTTGGTTTCCTACGTCTACAAAATAAAACAGTTGAGCTACTATTGTTGCTGTATTACTACTACTGATCTATTTGTGCTGGATTAGTCTATATCTAGATAAAGGAGGCCAAGTGTTTTTGGCATCACCAAACACCATTTAAACAAATAGCACTCCCTCCATAGGGGAGGAGGCTGCACACATCTCTCGCTGTCCTCCACTTTGAGAATGTGGATGAATTCCAATCAGCAGCCACCAGCTGACTGATTTGCCCACAGCCCGCTCTGGGTCCATTGGCTGGGAGGCTTCTGGAGGCAGCTGGGTCGTGTCACCCTGACCCAAACTGGTGATATGAAACAACAGTCAGATGTGCGAGCAGGTGCATAATCCATCCTCAGGAGGGAGAATGGGGTGAGGGAACAGTGGTTTAGGAGTGACTCATTCAGGTTATTCGTTCTGTGTAAAACCCAAGGCCTTCCAACTGACCCTGACCTACCTTCCCTGACTCTTTCTTCTGCTTTTCCGACACTTTCTCTGGGCCTCTATTGCCCTTCTTGCTAGTACAGCTGGCCCTTTGATGGCTTATATAGAAGATAAATTACCTAAATCATTCATTACCCCAACCCTTGTGAATAGATTTTCCTTGTTGCCACAACCTGGATTTTATCCCCAGCCCTATGTGATAAAGTGAAGAACTTCCAAGCTTCAGCCTCAAAGGAAAACCAGTCACTCAGCTCCACTGGTAATTGGTCTAAGCCAATCACTGTGCTCCCATGGGTAATCGGTCTAAACCAATCACTGCATTCCTTCTCCCAGTCTGCTTACCAGTGTTTGTCTTAGGTATGGCCATACACTGCAATTTTGGCTAGTGGGGAGTAAGTCAGTTAAGAGGTTTCTGGGAAAACTCACACTGTCCTCTCGGTATGAGATGCTTAGAATGATGCTGCCATCTTTTGAAAAAGAGAACAATCAGCTGACAGGCTGAGTGAGCCTGGCTGAGCAGAGAAATGAAGAGAATCACCTGGGGCCTGAGTGAGCTCACTGGGCTGCTTTGTTAATCAACCCTGGATGCTCTCTACCTGTTGAATTCTTGTTTTGTGAAATTACAATTTTTTCTTACTGTTTGAGTCAGAAGCCCAAACTATGTTTCTATTTCTCATGCTGGCACACTGGAGAGGCCACAGGAAAGCCCCAAATGGGGTTAGTGGAGGAATCAGTTCCTCCACTTAGAATCCAGTACTGAGGAACAAATTACTTCAAAATGTAGTGGTTGAAAATAGCAATAAGCATGTATTGTCTCTCAGTCTCTGTAGGTTGCAAATTTTACAGCAGCTTGAATGGGCAGCCTGGCTTAGATTCTCTCCTCTCATGAGATTGCAGGTGGGTGTGGGCTGGGTATGCCTAATCTGAAGGTTCAGCTGGGGCTGGTGGGTCTGATTCCAAGGAGGCTCACTCACTTGGCTGGCCAATGGGGGCTGGCTGTGGTGGGAGGCCTCATTTTCTCTCCATATGGGCTTCACCACATGGTACTTGAGTGTCCTCTGTTTTAAAATATGTTTTACTGTGTGTTCTCACTCGTAAGTGGGTGTTGAACAATGAGAACACATGGACACAGGGAGGGGAACATCACACACCGGGGCCTGTCAAGGGGTGGGGGGTGGGCAGGGGAGGAATAGCAGGAGGTGGGGGGATTGGGGAGGGATAACATTAGGAGAAATGTGTAATGTAGATGATGGGGTGATGGAGGCAGCAAACCACCATGGCATGTGTATACCTATGTAACAAACCTGCACATTCTGCACATGTACCCCAGAACTTAAAGTATAATAAAAAAGAAATAAAAAAGAAAAAAGTACATTCCTATTGTTATACAATATACAATCAATTAGATATTAAAAACAAAACAAAAAATAAAATAAAATATAGGTTTTATTATCTAGGTGTGGCAAGGCCATCGGATCAGGAGTGACTACTAATAAAAAGACAGTTTGTTATGCTCACAGATCTCACGAGGAAGGGGTGTGTCACACCATGGGGCCACATGGGAGATGCCAAGGTCAGTCAGGAGGCAGAGAGGGAGCAGAGTAAAAACAGGGGCATGAACTTTTATTGTGGTTTCTGTGGGAAGGAATGAGTGAGGGAGGGTGATCGGGCTTAGGAGTGAATAGTTTGAATCACTGCAGCATGCTCTGGGGCATACTGACTATCCCTAGTTGTCTAGTTCCTACTCCCGGGGTGATTAGGGCAAGCGGATAGTGGCCTGGAGTGTGAGAGCCCATGAAGCACGTGGTGGTGTGTGGGTTCTGGATTGATTGTTTTACATTTGTAAAGCATCCTTACAGTTGTTTGCTATTTCTAAAAACTGGCTAGTCCTGGGAGGGGCATAAAAATAAAAAATGAAAGACATGGTAAATACATTCTCACAGCATGGTGCTGGCTTTGCCCAGAGTAAGCAATCCAAGAGAGCAAAGCAGATGCTGCAATGTCCTTTATGCTCTTCGATTCAGAAGTCACATATCATCTCTGGTGAACTCTACACAGACTGGTCCTAATTCAACATGGGGGGAGACCATGCAAAGACATAAATACCTAAGAGGTAAGGATCACTGGGAGCCATCTTGGAGGCTGGGTACTGCACATCTGGCAAGTTCCTTAACCTGCAAGCATCAGTTTCTTCACTTAAAAAAGATGGTAATAACATTGTGTTACTCTGACGTCTAAGTTGAAAGGAAACACAAAATGCCTCTGGCTTGCTTAGGCAAAAGAGGAATTTATTGGATCAATTTTGGACAATTCACACAATAGAAATCTAGGAAGGCTATAGAACCAGGCTTAGCAGAACCTACGGGAGCTCAGGGATCAGGGAAAGTCATGCAGGGAGAAGCCTCGGGATTGGCCGGCTGGGAAACTGGTGTTGACATCAACTGGATTGGCCACCAAATACTGTGACCAGAGCTAAACACTCAGCACCACGGCTTTTGAGCAACTCTCAGCTGCCTGTGCCTTGAAGCTTCCACAGTGTAGGGAGAGTGGGGAAACGAAAATCAGGTCCCTTCTGCTTCTGGGATTACAGCAGATGTCCGCTACAAATACTGGCTTCATGGGATTCACCAAAAATATATGAGCACCTTCTTTGGAAAATCAAGAGTACTCAGTAATGGTTGGTTGCTTAATAGAAGGGAGAAAGCAGATAACTTGGGATGGAGTAGAGTGAGTTTGGAGATCTCACGTTGAGAGTGAGAGTGAAGCAGGCTCGTAACATTTCCAGCCACACTGAGCATTTCTAATCATACCCTTACTCTGCCTGTACTTTTACGCACATTTGCAAATTCTCAAATTGCTGAGACCTGTACAGATCCTATCTATATACTCTAACAGCCCTGTGAACCAAGTTGAAGGCAAGGAAACAGTATGTTATTATGAAAAGGTAAAGTGAAAGCTTCTTATGCAAATTGCAGTACTGGCCGGTTGCAGTGGCTCACTCCTGCAATCCCAGCACTTTGGGAGGCTGAGGCAGGCAGATCACTTGAGGTCAGAAGTTTGAGACTCCTGCCTGGGTAACATGGTGAAACCCCATCTCGACTAAAAACACAAAAATTAGTCAGGTGTGGAAGCGCACACCTGCAATCCCAGCTATTCAGGAGGCTGAAGCAGGAGAATTGCTTGAGTCCAGGTGGCAAAGCTGAGATCAGACTACTGCACTTCAGCCTGGGTGACAGAGTAAGACTCCACTGAAAAGAGAGGAGGGGAGGGGAGGGTGAAGGAAGGGAAGGAGAGAATTGCAACACTGGCCTCTTGGTACCTTGACACAAACCATGATTAACCACATTCTCTAAGTGGTGGTGGCATCCATTTCTGTCATTGTTACCTTTGTAGTACTTCTATCTCTGTTTGAATTGCCAACATAGCCAGACACCGTTTCTCACAAAGTCTGTGCTTTGTTAGCTGTGGGCATGAGTCTTGCTGTTCTAGCTCAACTATTTCATTCAAAGTGTTTTAACTTGCTTGGGTTTACAAATTCATTGAGGTTGAATGTGTAACTAAGTTCAGTGATTCGAAAATGTTAGTATATAAGGAGTACCAGGAGGGCTTGCTAAAACACAAGTTGCTGGGCCCCACCCCTGGAGTTTCAGATTCAGCAGATCTAGGGTGAGGTCTGAGGATGTGCATTTCTAATACATTCCCAGATGGTGCTGAGGCTGCTGGTCTGGGCATCACATTGAGAACCACTGACTTGGGTGACTTGATGCTGTTGCTGGCCTGCTTTGTAAACTTTAGACCCTACCCAGTAATCTATCTTTCTTTCCTTCCTTCCTTCCTTCCTCTTTCTTTCTTTCTTTCTTTCTTTCTTTCTTTCTTTCTTTCTTTCTTTCTTTCTTTCTCTCTTTCTCTCTTTCTCTCTTTCTCTCTTTCTCTCTCTCTTTCTTTCTTTCTTTCTTTCTTTCTTTCTTTCTTTCTTTCTTTCTTTCTTTCCTTCTTTCTTTTCTTTCTTTCTTTCTTTCTTTCTTTCTTTCTTTTTCTTTCTTTCTTGACAGAGTTTTGCTCTTGTTGCCCAGGCTGGAGTGCAATGGTGCCATCTTGGCTTGGCTCACTGTAACTTCCACTTCCCAGGTTCAAGTGGTTCTCCTGCCTCAGCTTCTGAAGTAGCTAGGATTACAGGCATGCACCACCACACCTGGCTAACTATTTTTTGTGTTTTTAGTAGAGACAGGGTTTCACCATGTTGGCCAGGCTGGTTTGGAACTCCTGACCTCAAGTGATCCACCCGCCTCAGCCTCCCAAAGTGCTGGGATTACAGGCATGAGCTACTGTGCCCGACCAGAGTCTCCTGTTCTTACTTGCAAAACAACATCTGTAGGTGAGCACCAGCATGCATCCCAACAAAGCAAAATTCTGCAGCTTCACAGCTCCTAGAAAGATCAAAGCGATGTCTGAATAAATTTTTGGTAATGGGAGACAGAGGATACATGCACTCCTGTTGGGCAACAGAGTGAAACTCCATCTCAAAAAAAAAAAAATTAAAATTCTTTTAGAAGTCAAGAAGAGTTTTGGGAGGAAAAATCCCTTAATGGAGGATTAAAGCTGTGAGAATGCATTGGTTTTCTCTTGCTGCTCTAATAAGTGACCACAAACTGGGTGGCTTAAAAAAACTATGACAAATTTATTATTGTACAGTTCTGGAGGTACAAAGTCCAACATGGTCTCACTGGTGTCAAACCAAGCTGTCAGCAAGGCTGTATTCTTTTCTGAAGGCTGGAGGGAAGAATCCATTCTCTTCCCTTTTCCAGTTTCTAGAGGCTGCCCACATTCCTTGGCTCATGGCTCCTTTTCTCCATCTTCAAAGCCCTCAACATTGCACCTCCAACAAAACTTCCATGGTCACACCTACCTCTCTGACCGCAGCTGAGAACACTTCTCATTAAGTACAGATGTGTCTATGTGCTATAGATGGAGACCTTGAATAATAGGGTCAGACTAACCCTAACATTGGAGAGTCACAGAGGGCAAGAGTATGAATGGAGGCCTACCCATCAAACATCCAATTTGGTTTCTTTTGAGACAGGGTCTTGCTCTGTAGCCTAGGCTGGAGTGCAGTGGTGAGATCATGGCTCACTCCAGCCTGGGTTCAAACCATCCTCTCACCTCAGCCTCCCCAAATGCTGAGATTACAGGTATTAGCCACTGTGCCCAGCAAATGTCTAATATTTAAATAAAGTTCCTTCCATGCTTGTACCTTGGAAAATATTATTTCATAGCAAAAAAAAAATGTGGGGGAAGTGAAATTTATGGTTTTTATATGACTGAAAGCTGGCAAAAACAAGAAGAAATAGCTGGACTTCATTATTACACACCTGTAGGTGTTCTGTTAATGGGCTGACATGTTTGAATGAATAATAATGACATATACAATTCATGCATTATAAATTTATCCATAAAATTAATGTTTCTTGCTTTCATTTCAGGAAAATTACAATTATGTTGTTATACTCAATATTTTCACATACTTTGTGTTCTATTGACAGAGATACCTAATTAGATTACCTTTCTTGAATCTTAGTTTTTCTTTTCATTTTTTCAAATTTCCATTTAGAGAAACTGCTCTGCAGAGGC